GCCAAAACTCAGGCTTTTCAAGAGTGCTTCTAAAGGTCAAGGTCTTGTCCAAACACAGCGAGAGTCTACAAAGCATATTTTGATGAAATACAGAAAACTTACCTACAGTTAAAGCAGAATCAACAGTTGCACTAGCTTATATCTTCAGGAAGAAGTTTTTGTCAGGACAGTGCTATAGTTTAGTCCTCCCCTCATTTCATATTCCTCACAGAAGTATTAGTTTAACCACATCAGGGAAAATATGCATATGCTCTCCTTTTCTGGAAAGCATTAAACATATTCTTATATCAGTGATGGGGAGGAGGGACAGATGGAGGATAAAAAGCCATGCATTGACTTTCTGAAATACATGAAGCTGGTATCATATATTCCCTTAGTTCAGGTTGCCTTTGATTCTTTCACGAAGGAAGAGTACTCATCCATGCAGAAGCTTTTAAAATCTTTTAGGTCACCCCGTCTTGCAAATTAAGTTTCAGAGTTTCAGAGTCAGACCTAGACTTTCCTGGGCACACTGTAATCTCTACTGTTAAAACACAGGCACTCCCTGAAAAATAATTCTACAGTATGACAGGCACTCCCTTCAGGAGGATATGACAAAGAAGTTGTGGGAACCAGTATGCATGAGTATATACCCTGGCCGATCCTCCATGAACTAACTCGAGCCATTTAATCTCATCTCCAAGGAAACTGCACTACACTTCAAAAGGCATTTATCTCTTATTTCTATCCTACTCCTCTGCTTTTATTATTTTTGCAACATCAAACATGTGTAGGCATATCTTCACCATTAACCCACTCTAGAGTTTCTTCTCTAGACTCCTCAGTCTTCCTGGCCATAACATATCAGGAAAGCACTTCCTGCAGGCTGTAACCCATTCATTTTGACTATGCAGGTTGCCCTCTCTGCAAAAGAGACTACATGCAATTCCTTTCCGATTCCCTTCCAAGCCCAAGTTCTCCTGAATTCCAAGGTACTTTTCCCTTAAGCTAAAGCTTCAGCTAAATCCAAGGCAAGGACATCTCTCACTAGTATTTATCTATATGGTTCAATAAGCTTCCCTGGGCTGTATCCACAGAAGCAGCAGCACTACTGCTTTTCAGCCGGTGGGATTTTCAACAAAGTTTGAGGTAGACTCATATGTGTGCACACTATAACAAAAAACGAGAACAGTATAAGGAACTCATTATCAAGCTAATGACAAGATGAGAACATTTAGTTGCCGTAGGTTGAAAAACGGGAAAAAAATGTGATCTTGAAAAGCACCTTATAACTTTCACCGGTGCCCTCCTTTTTGATTTTAGTCTGAGTTACCTTATGACGATTTCTGCAAGCTCGGGGGTAGCCAGCAAAATTCCCAGTGAGAACAACGGTATAAGCACACAAACATATGAGTATTCTGTAATTCATTTAAGCCTAAATTAAAAAACAACAAAAACAAAACCATGAAAACTTGCTCTTGTTACCGCTGTTGTATTACGCTGTCGCTGTTAAGATAGAACAAAGAAAGAAGTACTGCTAGAGTAGAGCCAACTGTTCCAAAGGTGAGAGCTGCCTGCCTTCAGGTACAGCTTGTCATCCTCTAAAGGAGGAAGGGAGGAAGAAATAACTTCATCCAGGGATAAAAAAACCTGGTTGGTTTCACTCGGCCTAGGTCAAATGTGAAGGGTGAAACATTTTGTGAGCTCTGCCTAACTTCGACCGATGCTGAATCTCCTGTTCCCAACAGCCAATGGTGAAAGCCCTGTTCTTTCGACTGTGTCCTGTCTCAAAGTCTCTAGGAGAGGCCAGGACCTGTCAGGTGTAGATGCTGCCCAAGCACAGACTAAAAAGGGTGAAAATCAAATGATCTAACTCAAAACAACATTTCAGATAGTCAGTAAAAGGAAAAAGAGACATGCTGCTTCTAACTAAGATGTTACTGAAAGGCCTGCTTTGAGGTGCAGTTACATTGATGATATCACAGAATTACTGGCAACACTGGCTTCAGTTCAGGATTGTGGCTAGGGCTAGTTAGTCTGGTTGAACTGCAGCTTTCCAAGAGATCGCTCATGCCTCAGCATCTCCATGGATCTTGTCTCTTACTTCCATTTAGCTCTGCCTCCAGTCCATCTGGGATATTCACTGATCCCACAGGGAGTAAAAGAGAACTGATAACACCTGGCATATTCAGCCACTGCTGCGGCAAGTGGGAGTGGGAAATAAATTGGATTAGAAACAGAAACACATCTTGTTCTGGTAGAAAGGCCCTCATCTGAGCAGCCTGACACTCTGGGAAACACTGCCCCACTGGTTGAAGGAAGATATAGCTAGCTTTCCCCTGAGATACAAAAACATGGTCTTATCTACCTGTCTCACAAAGAGACCTTCATCCAGCAGGACTAACCAATGGCTTTAACACCATATTAATTTGGTATGAGCTGACATAGATCACATCAGAGGAATGCTTCCTTGACAAAAACTGCTGTGTGCTGCTAGCACAGGAGGCCTGGTTTTCTACCACAGGGGTTGCTTCATCAGGAGTCAAGGAAAAGGGAGACAATGAGCCCTATTTGGCCAGCAGGACCAGCTGTCCAAGAGCTCTCCTGCTGCTGGGAAGGAGAATCTCAAAAAAGACACAAGTCTACCTTCTGCTCCATTCTGGCATCCCCGTGAAACTGAGATGCAAGCAGGAGCCCATGCCCCAAATCTATCCAGCAGAATGGGCCTTTCATCATGCCAGCCTATTCACCAAGGCTAGTGAGAGATTCTGGTCTAAACTCAGAGTCCAGCACTGAGCTTCTGACATACTCAAAAGATGGATTTCAGACTACATCTCAAAAACAACATCATACTTTGGTCACACCTCTTTCAATCTCCCATGCTGACTGCCCCAAAGACTGTATGTAGAGTGTACAGACCACACTCTACCTTCTCTCTAAAAAGAGAACCTCCTGACTTGTTAAGGCAGTGTTTTTGCACCATCAATCTGTTTAAGACCAAAGATCTTGGCACAAGGAATGTCTAAAGTTCCAGGACACTGCTGTTGTGGATACTTCCTCCCCCTTCAATTTAAGGGGCTCAGGTGAGTCAGACAACAGAATTCCTAACTGAATGTTGTAGGCTTGCTGGTTTTTTCTAAGCAAGCCAGTCAAGAAAGATCGTTTCTCATTGTTTCCCAACACTAGTTCCCACATTAGTTCCACTCCCTTGCTATTTCCCCAGGCAGGTTAGTCCAACTGCATCTCCCATAGCAAAATTTGCTCAGGTAATCTATACAAAGAAAAAAAATTACCTGCAGTGAGGGTGTAAAACCAGCACTCATGATGTGCAGCTCCTCAGACAAGCCAGTACTTTTAGAAGACTCTTAATAGTAACAGTATGTGAATAGTTTGATCTAAAAGGATGCAGAAAAATAATTAAATTGAGCAGACTGCCAAAATGCCTGCTAATTAATTTTAACTGCCTCCAATATCAGTCGATAAGTAGGACATACTTTGAAATAATTTGGCTTGGGAGACCTCTAAAACGCCACTAACTATTTCATTTTCTAACTGCTTTGCTCTAGCTGAACACTTTTTGAACCCTGGGGAATCTGTTTGTACTTTGTTACTAACAGTAGCTTATCATAAAAAGATATTCTGTATTTGCATTTCTGTACGCAAGCTGGAGTCTGACATTAATATTTAAAGTCATTAGCTCAGATTTTAGTGAGTTATATTGACCCCTGCAAAGCACCCACAGAATTCATGTTTATTGGGTATACCAAGACATCAGGAAGATGATTACCTCAAAAGATGCAGGCGGGTTTCCCTCAACCCAGGGATGATAGGCCAAAATTTACAAGCAAATGTTAAAAAAGATTTTTCATCTAGAATTATAAAAGGAGTGTAGCCAGCAAGGCTCCTTCTCCTTTTTACTCACTGAACAATCTGCCTCTTTACAGTGCTGCTAATTCCCCTATACACTGTCTTCTACGCTTACAGAAGCCAAGGAGGACTTTATGAATGGTCTTTATACTTTACAGGCCAGGGTTTTATATTTGCTGGGAATTCTGTGATTCAGAACAGCTGTATTAACACCATACAACTGCAGTGGTTCCCTCTCTCAAAAAGAAACTAATAACCTATCTTACTCTCAGCTCCTGGAAGAGACACTTACCTTCTAGCTGTCCTTTGATAACAGTGAAAAGCATATGCTGAAAAAGAGAGGAAAAAATACACTGCAGACAGATTAATTCAAGAACACCAGAGATGTCTTGGCTAAGCAGACAGCAAAGTCAACTAGCATTGGCAGATCTGCGCTGATATGTTAGCCTAGTTCAGCCTCTCTCACTTCGTGCTACGATGTATCTGTTCTTTTGAACTTATTTCTATTCACTCACGATTTGTGTTTGTATTGCCTTCAGCAGCTCAGCTATTTCCTGCATGCTCTACACACGCTACAGTTTTCTTCTGTAACTAGACTACCAACTCCTTGAAAAAGACTGAAACTATCCAGCCTTCTAGTGCCCTCAATACCTTATCTGCTTTTTAACATTTGTATGGTCACCCTATGCAACATTTCAAAGAAATGTGGAATATCACTGCACAAGTCTAGAAATAACATATTGTGTTACTGGTGGGTTTTTTTTTTTTTTTTTTGCAATAATAGACTTTTGAATCTACTAACCACTCACCATCAAATAAAATCCCTATGTAAACAATCCCCAAATGCAGCAAAGCATCAGCATGATTTTTTTCTAACTGGTTCAGGGTTAGATTTGTGACCTTGAAACAAACCCCCCAATATACTCATTGCACTAATCTTTCTTTTCAG